TAATGCTTGGGAACGTTTTGCAATGAGGTACGACATGTGCAATGAAAGTCATTATGAAACCGTTGCAATACAAGCAAATTCTTGTATTTTTCTTGAATGAGACAAACATATGCCGAGAGGGACATGTCGGCTTCTTGGTGGCCGATGTGCCTTGGACCCCAAGCTTATCGGCCCACAGACGGCCGATAGGGCCTAAAAACCTACCATGGGTGTGTTCCTCCATCGCTGCGTGCTCTCTCGCTCCCTCACGACTGCCTCTCTGTCTCTCTCTCTCTCTCACCATTGGCCGTTGTCATCGCCGCCGCTGCTTGCCGCCTTTACCTTGCTTTGCATGTCTCTAATCATAGGGCACATTGCTTTGCATGTCTCTATCTCTGTAGCGTAATAAATCAATCTGTCTTCCTAGTCTTCGATGGGCACTTCAAATTTGTCTAGGACTTGGCGAGTTCAGCACTTGAGGCCGTTGCTTCTGTGTCGCCAAAACTTTTTTTTCATAGTATAGTATCTTTTTGTTTTCGGCCGATTTGTGTGTTAGTGGTAACCCTTGGATTACCGCGTTATGTAGCCGATTAGCCTCTGACGTTGGTGGACACGGCGATCGACAGCTTATTGGCCCGTCGACGGCCGATAGGGACATGTCGGCCTTCGGATGGCCGATGACCTTTGACCCATAGGCTTTTTCGCCCACGGACGGCCGATATAGACTTGTCGGTTCATGGATGGCGGCAGGCCTAAAATACCTACTACTGGCGTCTTCCTCCATCGCGGCGCGCTCTCTCGCGCACTCTCTCTCTATATATCTCTCACCATCGCTGCGTCCGTCGCCGCCGTCATTGCTTGCTTTCGGCCGTCGCCGTAGTAGTACACTTGAAATAAACACATATGTTTGTAATAATGTTAAATGTTGGAGTTTTATCTTTTGCTTACCCATTGATGTGGGCGGTTGTAGCTCAAGTTAATTTGTTAGCGTTACATCATCTTACAAGAACTAATTTAATGTTTAATCTAGATGACACGTTTTGCTTCGCGTTCTTTTTTCAAGATAATATTCTTACTATCATTTGTGCTTTCTTGTTATATAGTAGATGCCTTATTCAAGTGTGATAATGCTTGGGAACGTTTTGCAATGAGGGTGCGACACGTGCAATGAAAGTCATTATGAAACCGTTGCATTACAAGCAAATTCTTGGATTCTTCTAAACAGAGACAAACATATGCCGATAGGGACATGTCGGCCTTGCCCATGGATGGCCGATATGGTCTTGTCGGCCTTCGCCTAAAATACCTACCACGGGCGTCTTCCTCCATCGCGCGCGCTCTATCTCGCTCCCTCGCGCACTCTCTCTCTCTCTCACACCGCTGCGCCGTCGCCGCCGCCGCCGCTGCTGCTCGCCCGGCCTTGCTTTGCATGTCTCTAATCATAGGGCACATTGCTTTGCATGTCTCTATCTGCGTGTAATAAATCAATCTATCTTCCCGGTCTTTGATGGACACTTCAAATTTGTCTAGGACTTGGCTGTGTTCAGAACTTGAGGTCGCTGCTTCTGCGTCGCCAAATCTTTTTTTTTTCTTAGTATAGTATCTTTTGTTTTCGGCCGATTTGTGTGTTAGCGGTAACCCTTGAATTACCGTGTTATGTAGCCAATTAGCCTCTGTGACGTTGGTGGACACGGCGCACCGACAGACTTATTGGCCCGTGGACGGCCGATAGGGCCATATGGGCCTTGAATGGTCGGCAGTGCCTTGGACCCATAGGCTTATCGGCCCACGGACGGCCGATGAGGCCTAAAATATCTACCATGGGCGTCTTCCTCCATTTTAGGCGCTCTCTCTCGCCTCCCTCGCAAGACTCTCTCTCTCTCTCTCATTGCATTGCCGTCGCCGCCAATAATACACTTGAAATAAACACATATGTTTGTAATAATGTTAAATGTTGGAGTTTTATCTTTTGCTTACCCATTGATGTGGGCGGTTGTAGCTCAAGTTAATTTGTTAGCGTTACATCATCTTACAAGAACTAATTTAATGTTTAATCTAGATGACACGTTTTTGCTTCTGCGTTTTTTTCAAGATAATATTCTTACTATCATTTGTGCTTTCTTGTTATATAGTAGATGCCCGATTCAAGTGTGATAATGCTTGGGAACGTTTTGCAATGAGGTATGACACGTGCAATGAAAGTCATTATGAAACCGTTGCATTACAAACACATTCTTGGATTCTTGAGAACGAGACAAACATATGCCGATAGGGACATGTCGGCCTTGGTGGCCGACGAAGCCTTGGACCAACAAGCTTATCGGCCCTGGACGGACGATATGCACTTTCGGCCTTCGGGTGGTCGACAGCCTAAAATACCTACCGCTGGCGTCTTCCTCCGTCGCGCTCTCTCTCGCACCCTCACGCACTATCTCTCTCTCTCACGCTGCACCGTCGTTGCCGCTGCTGCTGCTCGCCGGCCTTGCTTTTATATGTCTCTAATCATAGGGCACATTGCTTTAAATGTCTCTATCTGCACGTAATAAATCAATCTGTCTACCTAGTCTTCTGATGGGCACTTCAAATTTGTCTAGGATTTGGCCAGGTTCGGGCACTTGAGGCCATTGCTTCCTGCGTCGCCAAATCTTTTTTTTCATAGTATAGTATCTTTTGTTTTCGGCCGATTTGTGTGTTAGCGGTAACCCTTGGATTACCGCGTTATGTAGCCGATTAGCCTCTGCACGTTGGTGGACATGGCGCACCGACAGGCTTATTGGACCGTCGGCGGCCGATAGGGACATGTCGGCCTTCGTATGGCCGACAGGTCTTTGACCCACAGGCTTATCGGCCCACGCACGGCCGATATAGACTTGTCGGCCTGCGGATGGCCGACAAGCCTAAAATACCTACCGCGGGCGTCTTCCTCCATCGCGTGCGCTCACTCTCGCGCATTCTCTCTCTCTCTCTCTATCTATCTATCTCCCACCGCTGCGCCGTTGCCGCCGCCATTGCTGCTCGCCCGGCCGTCGCCGCCGTAATACACTTGAAATAAACACATATGTTTGTAATAATGTTAAATGTTGGAGTTTTATCTTTTGCTTACCCATTGATGTGGCCGGTTGTAGCTCAAGTTAATTTGTTAGCGTTACATCGTCTTACAAGAACTAATTTAATGTTTAATCTAGATGACATGTTTTGCTTCTGCGTTCTTTTTCAAGATAATATTCTTACTATCATTTGTGCTTTCTTGTTATATAGTAGATGCCTGATTCAAGTGTGATAATGCTTGGGAACGTTTTGCAATGAGGTACGACACAGGCAATGAAAGTCATTATGAAACCGTTGCATTACAAGCAAATTCTTGGATTCTTCGGAACGAGACAAACATATGCCGATAGGGACATGTCGGCCTTCGGCTGGCCGACAGGCCTTGGACCCACAGGCTTATTGGCCCACGGACGGCCGATATGGATTTGTCGACCTTCGGCTGGCCGACAGGACTAAAATACCTACCGCGGGCGTCTTCCTCCGTCGCGCGTGCTGTCTCTCGCTCCCTCGCGCACTCTCTCTCTCTCTCACCGCTGCGCCGTCGCCGCCGCTGCTGCTGCTCGCCCGATCGTCGTCGCCGCCGTAATACACTTGAAATAAACACAAATGATTGTAATAATGTTAAATGTTGGAGTTTTATCTTTTGCTTACCCATTGATGTGGCCGGTTGTAGCTCAAGTTAATTTGTTAGCGTTACATCATCTTACAAGAACTAATTTAATGTTTAATCTAGATGACACGTTTTGCTTCTGCGTTCTTTTTCAAGATAATATTCTTACTATCATTTGTGCTTTCTTGTTATATAGTAGATGCCTGATTCAAGTGTGATAATGCTTGGGAACGTTTTGCAATGAGGTACGACACCGGCAATGAAAGTCATTATGAAACCGTTGCATTACAAGCAAATTCTTGGATTCTTCGGAACGAGACAAACATGTGCCGATAGGGACATGTGGGCCTTCGGCTGGACCCACAAGCTTATCAGCCTACAGACGGCCGATATGGACTTGTCGGCTATCGGCTGGCCGACAGGCCTAAAATACCTAGTGCGGCCATCGTCCTCCGTCGCGTGCGCTGTCTCTCGCTCCCTCGCGCACTCTCTCTCTCTCTCTCTCTCTCTCTCTCTCTCTCTCACCGCTGCGTCGTCGCCGCTGCTGCTACTGCTCGCACGTTCTTGCTTTGCATGCCTCTATCATAGGGCACATTGTTTTGCATGTCTCTATCTGCGCGTAATAAATCAATCTGTCTTCCCAGTCTTCTGATGGGCACTTCAAATTTGTCTGGGACTTGGCCAGGTTCAGGCACTTGAGGCCGTTGCTTCCTACGTCGCCAAATCATTTTTTTCATAGTATAGTATCTTTTGTTTTCGGCCGATTTGTGTGTTAGCGGTAACCCTTGGATTACCGCGTTATGTAGCCGATTAGCCTCTGCACGTTGGTGGACATGGCGCACCGACAGGCTTATTGTCCCGTGGACGGCCGATAGGGCCTTGGCGGCCTTTGGCTGGCCAACAGGCTTTGGACCCACAGGCTTATCGGCCCATGGACGGCCGATATGGACTTGTCGGCCTTCTACTGGCCGACAGGCCTAAAATACCTACCGTGGGCGTCTTCCTCCATCGCGCGTGCTCTCTCTCGCTCCCTCGCGCACTCTCTCTCTCTCTCTCTCTCACTCTCACTCTCTCACCGCTGCGCCGTCGCCGCCACCACTGCTGCTCGCCCGACCAACGCCGGATCGTGCGCCGCTGCCGCCCCCCCACGCACGGGCCCTCGGCCGGCGCCGGGCCGACAGGTATGTATAATAATGTGTGCCGAGCAGCATCGCAACAGTTTAGCAAAATAGATTTTGAGAGGTGTTTATCAGTCAGCCTGTCCTTGGTGCATAGACGTCCTAAACTCTGAAGATGTTTTCTTTTGTGAGCCTGATCACTTCTATGTTGGCAGGAACATGGAAAAGCATTGAAACTCCAATTTATGTCTAAACAATTCCTCTTGGCATCGATAAACAGCTTTGGGCAGCTCCACTACCAAGATGTGAGCACTGGTGAAATGGTTGCAAATTACAGGACTGGTCTGGGCTGTACCGATGTTATACAGGCCAATCCTTGCAATGCTGTCATTGCCCTTGGGCATGCTGGTGGCAAAGTTACCATGTGGAAGCCAACCAGCGTGAAACCCCTTGTTACCATGCTGTGTCATCATGGCCCGGTGACTGCTGTTGCATTTGACAGGGGAGGCCACCTTATGGCGACAACAGGTGTTGACAGGAAGATAAAGATCTGGGACCTGAGGAAGTATGAGGTTATGCATTTTTATCCACAGGCCACAGCGTGCTCAGTCCTTGGATTTTAGCTAGAAGGGTGCAGTAATGGATCTCAGGTAGAGATATACAGGAATTCTGGTGGGAATGATTATAAACTTTACATGAAACACAAAATAATGAAGGGCTATCAAGTCGGGAAGGTTTCGTTCTGCCCGTATGAAGATATTCTGGGGTTTGGGCACTCGATGGGCTTTTCTTCCATCCTTGTTCCAGGATCTGGTGAGCTGAACTTTGATACCTTTGTTGACAACCCCATGGAAACTACCAAGTAGGATCGTGATGAGGAGGTGCATGCTTTCCTCAGTAAACTCCTGCCGGAGACTATCATGCTCAACCCGAACATGCCAGCCACTGTAAGAGCTCCAAAGAATAAAGAGAAGAAGACCAGTAAGGAGATTGAGGAAGAACATTAAGCGCAAAAAGAAGACCAAGGGTAGGAGCAAACCTAGCAAGCGGGCCAAGAAGAAAGAGGAAGATGTTTTCAAATCCAAGAGGTCCTTCCTAGAGCAATCCAAGGAGATCGTTGGGCAACCTGACAAGAAACAGCGGATAGGCGAAGATGTCGAACTCCCAAAAGGCTTGCAGCGGTTTGCCAAGAAACCACAATCATGATCAACATTAACAGAGTTGGGACTTTACATTGGTTTGTTATGCATCGCTGGTGAGCCTTTATGATTTAACTGGCCAGTATGTAAAATTCCCGCATGAGGAAATGGTGCACAGAATGCGCTGAAATTTGTTCTGAACCATTGGTATTCCAGTGAGCATGGCCGTGTCAGCTGAAATTTTTTGCTCTTTGGTTCTCGTAGAGTTTATAGCCCTTTTCATTCAGATGAAGTACATAATTCAGAATCCTAGGTTTGTTGTGGATCAGAACTTTGAACCTGGAGCACTCATTCGCTACTGTCCTTAAGGCTTGAGCTTTGGTTATCTACAGTATCCATGTTGGGAAAGGTGGTGCTTGTACAAAATTGCAGTAACATTGTTTGAGGAAAACGTGGAAGGTATGCCTGCAGGATTTGAACTTTGGACTGAAGACAGTGCGGAAATCGGCCGAGTACAAATCAACAGATGCTCTAGCCACATTTGTGTTCGTTATTGCTCCATCCTTTTTTCCTTCCCCCCTTTTTAAGGTACGTGCAACTCAAGATTCAAGCTTTTTTAATCTTTTGATTAACAATTAATGAAGAATGTATATATATTATACTATACAATTTTGATATCAACTTTTTAATCTTTGATTGACAATTAGTTTAAGAATATGTAGATTATACTATAAGTTTAATATCATTGGATTTATATGTGAAAGTACTTAGCATAATGCCAATTTTGTGGCCATGGAGGTTATAATATTAAATTGATGAGCACAGTGTAGCGTTGCAGGCTATATCGGATCAAAATTGTGTCTTGTGTATTTTCAAAAGTAAGTATCGTCTTTGCAAAACCAAAGTTGACTGCAACGAATGGGAGGAGAAATCGGACATGGACAAGTATGGACTGCTCCCTTAATCCTTCCAGAAAAATAGAACTATAGAAGGATATCCGGTTATCATAAGTTAAACTACTATTCTAAGAATAAGATTAATCAAATTTATAACAATTATTACTGTCACATTTACTATATCAAATGAGCTTTCTTAGATATATTAAAAAAAACTGGATGTATAATTTATATCTTTGGTCTGATAGATGCTAATAATACTTTTCTCTATAAATTTGGTGAAACTTAGGATGTTTTGATTTAGAATAATAGAAAATCCATTATATTTCAGGATAACCAAAAATCTATTATATTTCAGGACATAGCGACTATTGTTGGTGTTTCATATGACTGGCAAGTAAATTTGACTATTGTTGGTGTTTCGTGTCAATGGCAAGTGAATTTTGTGTCACCCACGGGATTCCCAATGAGGTATCACACATGACTCGAAGATAAAACATAAGTATATTTTTGCAACGGATAAAGTAATTGTCAACTAATGCAGTGAGGTACTGAGGTCGATCACGACAACGGATATGCAAACGAGCATACGGGTGGGCGGCAGGCACTGCATGTAAACTTCACATCAGAGCAATACTAATTTATGGCGGCTTTCCTGAAAAACTGATTTCCTCCAGGACCATCATGTCGTGAAAACGATACAAATTCGTTCCTCTCAGCACGGTCTTTTTCACCATTTGTTTTCATCTCTTCAGGCCCTGATTTCAACCATGTAGACATAGGCGCCGGTGCAGCCGTCTAGTTTCATTATCTCGAACGGACAAACTAGAAGCTACTAGCTAGCAATCTTAGGGGCACTTTGTTAATCACCGCAACGAACATGTAAAACAACAGTCGGCGAACCCCACGGACCTTTTGTATTATGCATAAAACGGCTGCGTGTATCTGTCGAAATCTCCACGGACGCACGTCTCCTGTTTTCAAATGCAGGATCGGGACCTTTTGTCTTATGCATAAAACAGCTGCGTGTAGTGCAATTATTTGTTTCCCCCACGTTTTCGGTAGCGGTTACTGTCGCTGATTAGCACCCGGCTTCATGTGATTTAAGAAACTGATCTTTCTTTGAGACGAGCCACCCCCTTTGCCGCTTTGTTATTATTTCATTTCAGGTAGTTTATACATTTGATTCGTTTGTTGGACCAAACGCGCCAGCGCCACAGTTTCAACTTTCAACGGCCTTTTGCATCAGAGGCGTATTAAAAACTCGCCGATTTCGACCTCTTGGCATCGTACGAGTAGATTGCTGAGCAGTGGGTGGGCAAACGGCGACATGCTTGTCTCGCTCCCCGGTCGTATCTGTCGCCCTCGCCCAGTAAGAAGTAGAAGAAGAAGAGGAAGGAACACTAAAAATACAAAGATTCCGTCGGTGAACGGCGATGACACTGCGACACGGTGACAGTAACATTTAACCATGCTGTGGTGAAATCTAGCCTGAGATTCCGATCGGCTGTCCCCAACGCTAGCCTGGTGAGCATCACAAGTCACAGCAACATCGTTTTCTTGCATGATTTGGGTGGGAGCTCCAGAGTCTGAAAGACTGAAACCAACTGGAGAGCTCGGCGCCAAATTTTCCAGCTCGTGCATTGACCAATCTCAGTGATGGGCCGGCCACCGGTAGGTTGGACTGGGAAGGGAATATCGGGCGGGCCATCCCTTTTGACTACACTGGAAGGAAAACCCATGGCCTCCTCTCTCAAGAAAAAAAAAAGAATCCTTCAAAAGAAGAAGAAGAAGAAAAACCCATGGCCACCTTTAGGGCACCACGTCCAGTTCCTTTCGCCCCCCCGGGATCCGGGATCCCTAGTCCCTACGAGGCTACGACTTTTGTCAAATTTCTACTGCATGCAGCTGCGGCTGGCAAGACCTATCTGTCACCTTGCGCAAGCATATCAGCATATGGATTTGACAGGTTGACTCACAGGAGCATCAGCGTGTTGTGTTCAAGTGTTCCTTCTTCCTTCACAATTCAGGAAGCATATGGAGAGAGACAGAGAGGACCACAACAGAGACAAGCGAAAAATGCCGATTGACTGATGTGGCTACCGAATTGACCGTGCATCTGAGTGAGAGCACAGATCGTTGGCAACCAGTTGTTTTCCTTGGACGCCATGAGCTTGAAGTAGACCGTAAGTCAACGAGTAGGAAAATGGAGTGTTCTTTTGCGGCCGGGAACAACCGTTTGATCGCGTCCGTCCGTTGGTTTTGGTTGGTGGCACCGTGGCAGCGCTATCAATCCGGCCGTCCTTTACTCCTTTCAGTGATTCACATCCTTGTCATCGGTCACCCCAATCAATGCACGCGTTGCAGGCTTGTAGTTGCAGCCGAGCTCTCTCCTTTGACTTGATGAACTGCTGCGCCGGTGTACTAGTAGTACTGAACTGATGTGTTGGCCAATTATAAATTCGAGAGCTGGTCAAACAAATTAATGTCACATTGATACTCCTAGCGCGTGGACTCCTCGATTTGCACGGAAGAACATACTAGCGTGGAAAGGCACCAGTTAATGATGATGTAACGAAGACATCAATGAATACAGAGTGTTGAGAGCCGTTTTCTCTGAACGTGGAAGATGGATACTTAGGGCTGCGCGTATCACACAAACAACTAGGGGTAAAGCAGATAGCCGTATTTTAATTTGCAGCCTGTACCATTTCGTCGCGGTCGTCCACACCTGTCACATGTGGTGGCTTGGCTTATATGCAGCATTTTTCGTCACGCCTTAAATGTTGGGGCGTAGCGAAGTGCGACTGCGAGGTGTGAACTGCACTAGTACTTGCGTCGCGGATCGCCCATCATGCATGCATGATTCAGTAGATAGATAGACACTTATCCTGATCTTATTATACGGTGGCTTGTCGATGGAGCTAGTTACGATTTGCAGATATATATAAGCGCGCGCGTGCGTGCGTCCATGTCGACCTGCCCCCGGCCCGTTGAAATCCGGAGTCAGAGGTCAGCATCAGCACACGGCCTTCAGTCGCGCGCGGACCCGCCGCCCGCGTTGCGTGAGATCTGGCTGGCACCACGACGGCGATGGGTTTCCTGGCCGACTGCAAAACCAAAACGCGATGAGAGTGGGCGAGTGGCGAGGGGAGCTAGACGCCCGCCGCGCAGGCGCCATCCGCCCATCCCCATCCCTGCGTGGCTGACATGTGTGCCTCTCGCGGGCGACTGCGCGTTGCCGGCTGGGGGTCAGAGACCTCGTTCCGGAAGGCGGAAGGGGACTCGTCGGGGACTGGCCGACTGGGATATGGACCCGCTGCGGTGGCAGTAAAAGCTACTACCAGCAACCACATGCAGTCCACCGATGGAGCTGCAGCTGCTGGAGCAACGGAATCGCGCGACGGGGACGGCGGCCGATCGAGAGCGACGCTTTTGGTTGGGTCCCTCATGACTTCGTCATCACGCCGCGGAAGTCGCCCAAGTCTACGCGCGTGACGGGGTGCAGCACTGCAGTGCAGCGAACCACCACGACGCGCTTGCGCTTGGCCGATAGGCGATAGCCAAGGCCCAATGGTAGCCTTCTCTCTCCGCACGCATGACGCTGCTGTTATGTCTGATGCTGATTTGTTAGTAATACAAAATACTACTTCATTGCTGAAAAGCAATTCAAGCGAACAGGGGTGTTGCGAACATCTCCATCAATCTCCTTGCCCAAGAACGCATGGCTGAATATTTGTGCTGCGAATCTGTCTGATCCTGTGATCCCTACCCTATAGGCTACAGTGTACTTTAGTACAGTACCTATGCCGGTCCCGGTCCCTGGACCAC